TGATCTGGAACTCCTGGGCTCAAGGAATCCACCCATCTCAGACTCCCAAAGTGCTAAGATTACAGGAGTGAGCCACTGTGCCTGGCTTAAGCTCTCTTGAATACTTACTAATTCATGAGCAGTTTGGGAAACTTCTGAAAGATTCATTTTACTCCAAAAATGAAGACTTTGGGGGGACTGAAGGGAACTGTACCTGAAGATACACTACTCAGCAGAGCTTCGCCTTGGCCATTCTGCAGAAAGTATTGTTTCAAGTCTGGGAAACTTTCAAGCTTGGCATTCAGCCTGAGCCGTTGAACTAGTTTCTTCACAGTGGTGACACTGGAGGAAGCTGACCTCAGTGCAGGACAGCCGGACTATTCCTGGGTCGGCAGGTTGGTGAGTGGGGGATTGTGGGTACAGGGGTGGGGGCTGAGAAGGCTCTGACATAGCTAACAATGCTTTGTCTGTTGTGTAAATATACTTAAATAAAACCTGTTTACCCTCAGATTTTATGGGTTCATTTGACTTTTATTAATGCATAAAGGTTATAGTTTCAAAACTGTATATCTGCCAATTTTTGTCTTGTTTTTCTGACACTGGTGTCATCAGATGCATTTTTAAAAAGACAGCAAAGTTTAAACCCCTTCAGGGAGTATCAGTTGCCATCCAGGTAAAATCCAGACCCTCAGTTTCTGTTGCACACCATCTTCTGTTCTCACCACTCCTAGCCACGTTAATCTTCCCCAGCTGATAAACCCACACCCTCTGTTCTGGTGAGCTTAGTTTCCTGCATATTTTGGTGCATGGGCTCTGGGGTATAGTAAAGATCCAGGTTAGCACCCTGACTCAAAAATTTACTGACTGTATGAGAATTGCTTTTAGAACTTCAGCTTCTTCATATTTGTCACAACTAATGTGAGATTAAGTAAAATAAATAACAAAGCTTAACACATAGTTGGCACTTAATAAATAATAGTTCTCCAGTCATCCCTCTGTCTCTCTGGGATATCCCTCATTTCTCCACCTTGTAATATCTCATCTATACTTCTGGTACAGTTCTATCCAGAATCTTCACAAATGCTTCTGACCAGGGAGCTTGCCACACATCTTACTCAGTTTGGGTGTCTCATACCATTTCAGGGCTCTAGGTGTGTTTAATAAGCCAAGCTGTAAGCTTCAGGAATGCCTGGCCCAATGCTTGGCACTTAAATGCCACAAACAAATGAATAAAAGGTGCAAGGGATATAACAGCAAAGGTAATAGTTAACAAATTGCACTTAATAGGCCATACCCACTGGCTCATGCCTGTAATCCCAGCACTCTGGGAGGTGAAGGTGGGTGGACTGCTTGAACTCAGGGGCTCAGAGACAAAAGCAAAGACCCGCCTCTACTGAAAATAGAAACACTAGCTGGGTGGGGCACTGTGGCTGGTGCCTACTGTCCCAGCTACTTGGGAAGTTGAGCCATGAGGATCCCTTGAGCCCAAGACTTTAAGGTTGCTGTGACCTATGATGCCACAGCATTCTACCCACAGTGACAGTGAGATTCTGCTAAAAAAAAAAAAAAAAACCCAAATTGCACTTTGAAATTAGCCTAATTATTGTGCCAGAGACACGCAATTGGTGATCAATGAAAATGTGGTCAGTAAATGTAGCAATATATCCCACATAATACCACTGGATATTCTAATACTTCCATATACCATTGCAATATACTGATAGAACATATTCCTAATAGTTCAATATACATATTTATTCAATTTTAAGCAACATTTGGTACCACATTTTAACCTCTGAAACTGAGCTGTGTCTTACTATCAAATACATTGCTGGTGGCCAGGTGACAGTGATGATAAGAGTTGGCATTGCCTCTGTATTTGTGAACATGGTCATTATTTGAATTGTCATTATTTCTATTCAAGTCTATGTAATTTAACACCACATGTGTCAAAGCCACATGCCCCCAAATGCAACTGACAGCAGGAGAAATATCGAGATGGGTCGGATTAGGTAAAAGAAATTCTGAAGCAATGGGAGGCTGATATAACCAATTCATGTATCATGCAGGACTATGGCTGAGGCATGGAACTACAATTTGTCAGAAAATTTGGCCATTAATAAAGAAGCTACATGGCTTGTAGTGACATCTGATTCAGTTGAATCAGAAAACTGTATCTTTAGTCAATTAGGGCAATACCAGCATCAAATTTGCAGAATGAGTTGTCATTGGCTCAGAAGCAAATCCAGGCACAAGTCTGTAACATCCTTTTAGGAAATACTGCACTATCAATAACATAGTGTAGAAAAACACACATATTAATTCTCTGCATAAAAAGGGATTCATAAAAAGCCTCAATATATAGGATTTTGATTAATTTATTTTGCTTATATTTTCTTTTTCTATATATGCACACTAAGAAAAAATATCTATGTCTAAGTAAGTCTAAAAGCATTCTTTCGGTTAAGTATAAAGTGAAAATCCTGTGGGAGCCAATATGTCATAGTTCATTTAGCAATACTTTTCCTTTCTTGGTGGTACATACAATCAAACATGTCTTGGATTTGAAAACATGTATTAATAGTAAATTGAATAGGTACGAGGTCCATGAGTTTTCACACTTCTGTTAGTGAAGAAATAGAGCTTGGGGTTTTCTTGTTGTTATTTTGATGGGGATTATGTTGTTGCTTAGGAATGAGGTAGGCAGATTTCCTCACAAACATCAGTTACACTTATTTGTAGAACAAGCATAATTTGAACAGAAGCCAGATTCTCACATCACCATTTATAGCTTCTTAACACGCATCATACATGACATTCTGAATCAGGTAAACACTTGTGCAATTAGTTAAGCACTTCTGAAATTAATTTATATTTTCCAATATAAAAGTAATGCATGTTGGTACAGAAAATGCCCCATATTCAAAAGTGTCTATGTACATGAGAGTATGTAATCAGCCATACATCTTCCACATGAAATATTTAGTAAATTTCTTCCTGAAAAACTTTCTTATACATTTTTTTCTTATAAACTTCTGTAATTAATTTATATTTTCCAACATAAAATAATGCATATTGGTATAAAAAAACGCCCTATATTAAAAAGTGTCTATGTACATCAGAGTATATAATCAGCCATATATCTTCCAAATGAAATATTTGGTAAATTTCTCCTTGAACATTTTCTTATAAAATTTTTTTGTTGCCATTTCTTCTCGTTTACGAAAGTGTCTCAAACCTAATTAATTATGTTAGCTGTACATATAGCCTTTGGTAGTAAGTACAGAAAATCCCATCATCTCACCACCCAAATATTGCCTCTGAATATTTTTTGCCATTGCATTCAATGTGTTTAGGGCATAAATAAACAACATAACGTGCAGGCAGTGGACGCTCAGTGCATCCCTGCTGAAAGCATGAATGCCCAAGAGAACTTGGAGAAGGGCCCATCTGTCTTGCTAATAGAATCAATTATACAGATCTTATGGTCTATTTTTTGTCTTCTCAAGTTTGCCTTATTAGTCTCACACAGCAGGAGCATGCCAGGACACAACCAACTTTCTACTTTTGGGCAACCGAGCGCTCCGGAAGGGGTGGTCACTCTTCTCGCCTCATTCTTTTCCTTCATTCACTCACTGATTCAACACACACTTATTAATTGGCCAGTCCGTGCCTGGACTAAGGAAGAGAAACAGATAAACGCGTTCCCTACCCTTATGCAGATTGCAGTGTGAAGACAGAACAGACAATAAACCCAGACACACAAATATGTACACATTTTGATAAGTGTAGAAATGGGCACATAAATGGGGGGGGGGCAGTGGTCTTATTTATGAGAGATAAGGAAAGGCATTTCCGGAGGGAGGGTCAAGACAGAAGGTCAAAAAAGGTCCTGAGGCCAAAGAATAGTCAAGGAAGGAGTAAGGAGAGAAAGACGGTTTCCTAGCCATGCAGTTCTCCCCACAGCTGCCAGGTCTTCCCCAAGTACTATAAGCACCAAGCAGCAAATCTCTCTATATTATAAGGCATTTTAAGCAGTGGAACAAGCCCATTAGATTTTTAAGACTAGAATACTGAGCGATCCATGGCCTACTCCCTGCGCCGCCGCTCTCGCATTTCACAAACCCTACTTAGCCGCGCGTTCTGGATTTCAACAAAAGAACTGCCACACGGTTCAGAGGTTCGTAAATTACACGTGGGCAAGGCTCCCACGCTGGTTCCCTAGACGTGTTCCGGGCAACGACCTTGTGCGCCCACAGCTCCCACGCCGCCAACGCCACCAGGCCGCAGCTCCCCGCCGGAAACGCCGGCGCTCGGCACCCAACTCAGGTGCGCTCATTTGTTTCCCACGGAGGCAGGAACACGTTCACAGCACGCGTGGGCGGGGAGACAGCGGCTACTTTCTGGCCGCCACCGAGGCGGTTCTGGGCGGGGCTAAGACTGGGGCGGGACCAGGCTTGGGGCGTGCCCGAGGCTTGGGGGCGGAGCCGGCGCCGCGGTAGGCTGCCCCGCTCTCCTGAGCGCTTTCGGCGGTGGTTTGGTCCGGCACCCGGGCCACCCACGGGGCGGTGGGAGCTCCCTGGCCCCGGGCTTGGACCCCCCGAAGGTAAATTCGCCAGGAAGCTGGACAGTTTGAGCGCGAGGGTATCCACGATGAGATCGGGAGGCCAGATGGCGGAGGACGCCAGCGTCCCGAGGCGAGTTTCCCGAGAAAGCTGAACTCGTCCCAAGTTTCTTGTACATCGACTTGCACCCGGTGAATTGGTGGCGGATTCATTCCGTGCGGGTGGTCTCTGGGCCCTAGAGGGACGCGGAGGTGATTGGATTAATCAATTCTGGGCTGCAGCCCAGATTTCTGCCCGAGAAAAGGCGGGTAATTGCCGCAGCAGTGGTGTCCCGCGCAGCAGCGGGGTAGACTGACTGCCCGGCTCCGAGGGCGCGAGCCTGCAAGGCGCGCCCGATTGTCCCGAGGCAAAGTTCCACAACTTCTTTCCTCTTTAGGCAAGACTAGCTCCGTGTTCCTCCTGGGGCTGACCCCGAGGCCCGGCTATGGACGGCGAAAGCGAAGTGGATTTTTCTAGTAACAGCGTGACCCCTTTGTGGCGGAGGCGTTCGACCCCTCCGCCCCAGCTGCTGGGCCGGAGCAAGCCGAGGCCCCAGTCTTATCAGAGCCCCAGCGGGTTGCTGATCACGGATTTCCCGGTGGAAGACCTAGGGACGCTCCCCGCCGCGCAGACTCCCGCCCAAGTGCCCACCGCCTCGGACAGCAGGACGGCCCACAGGAGTCCCCTCCTTCTGGGCACCCATCGGAGAGCAGTGGCTAATGGCGGTATGGTCTCCTTGGAGTACAAAGCTGCCTCTCCCAGACTTCGACGACCCAAGTCACCTCAGGTACCCCAAACGGTGCCTGGCGGCTCCCCGAAATCCCCAGCGAACGGCACCGTGACCTCGCTTTCCCCTCTGCCGCCGCCGCGGGTGCTGCGCCCCCCGCGGACTCCTAACGCACCTGCTCCCTGCAACCCGGGGAAAGACCCCGCCAGGTTGATTGCCAACCCCGTGCCTTCCCCTACTGCAAACGGCTTTGCCCCTAGTAACGACTCCCCTGGCTCCGGTTCGCAGTCCGGCCAGTTGGCTATAGACCCCGAACGGGTAACCGGGAGACTGTCGCCTGCGCTCCAGAAAAGGTCTTCAGAACAGAAACTCCCCCTCCAGAGGTTGTCCTCGCGGGAGAACGAGCTTCCTGAGAATCCTTCCGTGATTTTGAGTACAAACAGCGCTGCCGCCCTCAAAGTGGGGAAACAGCAGATCATTCCTAAGAGCCTGGCCTCGGAAATCAAAATAAGCAAATCCAACAGTCAGAATGTGGAGCCCCATAAGAGACTCCTCAAGGTGCGCAGCATGGTGGAAGGCCTCGGAGCGCCCCTGGGCCACGCAGGGGACGAGGGTGAGGTCGACCACGACTTGGACAGCCCAGGGTCTCTGCGGAGAGGCTTGCGGTCCACGTCCTACCGCAGGGCAGTGGTCAGTGGCTTTGATTTTGACAGTCCTACTAGCTCGAAGAAGAAGAACAGAATGTCCCAGCCTGTTCTGAGAGCAGTGATGGAAGACAAGGAGAAGTTTTCCAGCCTGGGCAGGATAAAGGTAAGAGTGGGCAGGAGTGTGGCGCGCAGTTCTCCAAAAGTGCACGTGTTGGGGGTGAGGAGGCGCAGAGAGGAAACCAGGAGCCGTTATTCTCTTTTAATTCTGTTTGTTGTTGTTGTTGTTGTTATTGATTACCTGTGGACTCCTATCTCTTGGCCACTTTGTTGTTGGCAGACACAGCCGAGTTTAATGCAGCTTCCTTCCTGGAAAGAAGTTCTGATCCCTTGATTTTCTAAGCTCAGGCAATATCTGGAGAACAAAAGGGAAAATCTTACATCAAATTAAGTTTAGGCTGAGTGAGTCCTAACCACTTTTAATACAGGTAGCTGAGAGGGGGAGGGGAACACCCTTAGCTCTGCAGTCTCTGTCCGCTGTGGTCAAGTTCTCTGGTGTTTGTTTCGAGGTGTCAGCCAGTGGTGGCTGTTATCACAGCTGATACCAGAAAATACTGATTTCTGTTTGAACCTGTTGGTTTTTTTCTGCTTTTACTTATTGAATAGTTTTTTGAGTGCTGATTGCACACTTCCTGTCATTCAGGTAAAATGTGAATTTTAAAACCAATTACCAGAAGCAAAAAGACACCAGTAGTTTCTTGTCTTTTTTGTTGCTTATTTTTGTCACCATGGCCTCCGGTTGTATTTTATTCCCATTTTATGCCCATTTATCCTTGAGTGCATTTAACAAGTTGGTAGCTCAAAACCTTAGGTTGGAGTGAATTCTGTGGTATTGCTCCTTGTTACGGGACTCAGAGCTGCACTTACTAAATATATTGCAAAGTAGGATATAAAGAAAGCTCCAAAGAGATATTTGGAAGTGTGCGCTGCTTTCCCTAGAAGGCAGATCTCAGCAATAGGGCAGAGATTCTTTTTGGCAGTGACATTTTTTCTTGATTAATCACAGAACTGGAACCAGGCTATATAAATGTCACATACATAATACACAAGCAAAGCCTGTTTTATTTTAGAACCTACGGTCTTAAAGAAAAGAAATTATATAATGTTTTATGGGATTTTTTTCCAGCTCTGCAAGTTTAGGGAAGATCAGTTTAACAGTGATGGTGAATCACGAGTGGTGAAAGGAGTTGAACCCCTGGTCATTGGAGGATTCTCGATCTGTTTTGATGGGGTGTGGGAGACCTTGTGCATTTTATTTCAGTGTTTCAGTGAATTGTGATGGTCATATGAGATATGAGTGAACTGCTCTAGGGCTTATCTGCTGGGTCCTTTTAGAAATCTAATGAGTTTAACAACAAGAAAAAAGTACCTTTCCTTAAAATAGCTGTATTTTATATTTCCTTTCCTCTCTCTCTCTCTCTCTTTTTTTTTTTTTTGCTTTTCTTGTCTCCTAGAAAAAAATGCTGAAAGGACAAGGAACATTTGATGGGGAAGGTAAGCATTTAATTTTCCAGACTTTTATTGCTGTTTCAATGTGGAATATCAATTATAAGTTTAAATCCAACTTCAGTAGCAAAAATGCTTGATGAGAAATACTATGTCCAGCTTCTTCCCAAGTTATATAGTTCAAAGCTCTGCACTAAGCTAGGTTTTCATCTAGTAATACCAGCAGAGATTTTAATTAATGACATTTTATATAATGTGATAACTCAGTCAGTGTCCTGGGATTTTTAATTCTTCTCTCCTTTGCTCCATTCCCATCTTCTTCAATAAAGTAGAGAAAGAATAAGAGCTAGCTCTAGATTTTTAGTGAAAAATTCTAAGAGTTTGGCATTTAGATCTGAGGTCCTGTTTCCTTAGGTCACATTTCCCTGGACTTAATATTCTTTTTCCCGTATTTCCATATTTTATCATTTTTGACTTCCTGTTTCCTTAAGTTTCAACTTTGGGGAAATAGAACCCTCTTGGCTGACAAAAGCATATTCTTAAGAGTTTGTAACCCATATAGTACTTTGTTAAGGATCTCAAAAAGAAAAGCGGCTCCAACCAGGTGTTCAAACCCGAATCAGATTAGTGGACTTTGTGTAAACAAATGGGTCAAATGTCAGCCAATTGGAAGAGTAGGAAGGGAGCAGTCCCAGCTGCAGCCCATAGAGAGGAGGGTGCAGTCCTGGTAGTGCGGGTAATTACTTTCTGTCATGCTTTGGAATGGTAACTCATTCTAACCTTTAAAGAACAGTGAAGAGGGAATACCCCTCTACAAGAAAAGTTAGTTGTAAAACCACCCGAGTAATAAAGTGTAAAATCTTGGGTGATTACAAAACATTTTCCTGTATAATTCTTACGAAGGGGAGTTTCCCATTAAGCCTTTAAAAATGACTAATTTATAAAAATCCATTCATTGCATCAACCTTAGGAAACTGTATGGGGAGGGAACTCAGATAGGGTGTTGTAGCTGGTTAGGATACATTCATCTCCCTGATTTTATAATTGAGGAGAATGGAAACTCTGAGTTTAGTAATTTGCCCGCTGTCCCAGGCTCATAACGCAGCCTGTACTAGGATGCAGGTCTGGTTCTTGGGATAGTTTGATTCCTTTGGTACATTGGTTTTATGTTATTTCCTCTCAGACGGAGCTGTTTCGATGGATTTGCTCTTCTCTCTCCTCAAATGTGATGACTTAAATTCTTTTTTACATGTACATGAGGAATGCAGGATTCTTATAGTGAATGACTGAAATGTAACTTAGGGGGCAGTGTGGTAGAGCGGTAAGAACCCATGACCTTCTGTCCGGGGAAACATGTGCTCCTGTCCTAGTGCTTAGACTCCTGAATTGACTCCCAGTGACCTTAATCTCACTAAGCTACTTCATGTGTGAAATGAGGTTAATAATACTTGTGTTGTGACAATGAATGGGAAATCATGTCAGCAATGTTATTCATATACTTTGTGCCAGTCACTAAGTATTTTGAAGACTGGAGAAACGCAGACTTTACCTATATAATCTGTTTTGCATATGCAGAACAATCAGAGACCAGTAAAATCTCACATACACTCTTGTTACTTTAGTTATGGTGCATTAAGAATAATCTATAGTTGATGAAAGGCAGATGTTTACTTGCTTCAGTAGATAGGAAAGACGTTTCAAACTCAGTACTTCCCAAACAAAATTCATAATCTTCTCTGCTCTTCTCTGTTCCTGTTCCTACTTCCCATTGTGGGACCTGAAGACCTGGGAAATATCCTTAACCCCACCTTCTCTCTGCCTTCCTATCCACTCTATTGCCGGCCCATTCTAAGTCACATAGCCCAAGAATCCAGCATCTTTCATTGACTGTCCTAAGAAGCATCTGAATTAGTCTCTTAGGTAGTTTTTAGTATTTTGCTCATTAATTTGAGCACATGTTTCTTTTCAATGAATTCCCATTGCATTCAGGTTAAAGTACAGTCATTACAGTATAAAGGAAACTAAGTCCTTTTGTGTAAAATCCAGTTCTTGATCATTGCCTACAAAGCCCTACTTGATTTGGACTGTGGGGCTCTTTGTTCTGAATTCACCTTGCTCTTTTTGGTCATGAGACACACCCAAGCCTTAGCCACATCGACCTTCTTCAGTTCTTTAAAGTCATGTATCAGTTAACAGTGAGGATACTTTCTCAGAAACGTGTCCTTGGGTGATTTTGTCCATGTGTGAACATCATAGAGTTAACTTACACAAACCTAGATGGTATACCCTACTTCACACCTAGGCTATAGCTGGCCACTCTTAGGCTAGGCTACAAACCATTACAGCATGCTACTGTACTGAATACTGTAGGCAGTTATGGAAAATACTTGTGTATCTAAACATAGAGAAGGTATAGTAAAAATACAGGATAAAAGATTTTTAAAAGTGCATCTATAAAGCATTCTTACCATGAAAGGAGCTTACAGGACTGCAAGTTGCTATGGGTGAGTTGATGAGTGAGTGGTGAGTAAATGTGAAGGCCCAGGGCATCGCTCTACACTAATATAAACTTTATAAATTGTACACTCAGGCTGCCACTAAACTTAAAAAAAGACTTTCTTTTTTCAATGATAAATTAACTGTAGCCTACTGTAACATTTTTACATTATAAACTTTAAAAATATTTTTTGCTTTTTGATTTCTTATAATTTTAACATTGAGTTTAAAACGTAAATACATTGTACAAAAATATATTTTCTCTATATTTTTATTCTAGAAGGTTTTTTCTACTTAAGTTTTTTTCACTTTTTTTTACTTGGTAAGCTTTTGTGTTAAAAACTAGGAGACCAGTGCACACGTTAGGCTGGACCTGTCCAGGGCCAAGATCACCAACACCACTGTCTTCTTCCTTCACAGGAAGGTCTTCAGGGTCCGGAACACACATGGGGCTGTCACTGCCTGTGACACGGTGCCTTTTGGAATATTCCCTGAAGGGCCTGTCGGAGGCTGTTTGGCACTTACCTTTTTATTTTTATAAGTAGTAGATGGACTACACTGTAAGCTGATGTTAAAAAGTACAGTGCAGGCAGTCCCCAGGTTATGAAGAAGATAGGTTCTGTAGGTTTGCCCTTAATTTGAATTTGTATGTAAGTAGAAACAGGTACTTTCACTATTCACCTGTAACTGCCCCTGTTGGTAAGTGTGAGTTGAACATAAGCTGGATGCTTGGGCTGGAGCACTGCCTCTACAGGAAAGACCTAAACTAGTAACGTAGCTGTTTACCATCCTTGTCCCGTCTCCTGCTCTGTCCATAGTTCCGTATGATGGCAGCACAGGAGGTTTGTTTACACCAGTGTGACCCCAGACACACGAGCAATGCGTTGTGTTGTATATCAGGAGAGGTATGACGTCACTGCACGAGGGCTGTACTCACATGAGACCACTGTCATATATGTGGTACTTCATGGACTTAAAAGTTACGTGGTGCCCAGCTGTAGCACGTTCTCTTATGTTCGTTTATAACTTTTGCGTTTGCTTTTTCTTATGGCTGTGTACTCTTAGCTTTCAGATCTTAGAGTTTCCTCACTGATACCTCCTTGACCCCCCAGATCCCACCCTACTCACAGTCTGTGCTCAGAGCACCTGTGTGTAATTCCTCCAGTTGATAGGTGTGCATGTGTGTGGACTCATTGTGTCCTCAGCCCTGCAGGGACTTGTCACCACACTTGGAGTAAAGTCAGAGTCCCTTCAGTGACCCCGAGACAAGACTCTACCTAATCTCCCCTCTACTTACCTTCAACTATACCTCTTTTCTGTTGCCCCTCCTGGTGGTACTCCAGCTACATGGGCCTCCGTGCCGCTCCTGGTACATCCAGACAGGGGCTTCGTACTTGCTGTTCTCCTGATGGGATGCTCTCTCCCGGCCGTACAGGCTTGTTTTCTCACCTCTTTCATACATCTCTGCTTACCTGCTGCCTCAGGGGAGGCCCTCCTAAGCCACCCTGTCTGAAGTCTACACATCCTCCTCCCAGCACTTTCTAGCTCCTCTCCCTGTTTTACTTTTCTTTATGACATTTATCAGCATCTGAAGTATTATAAAAGTTCCTTGTTTCTCTGGTGATCAAACATCAGCTGTTGAAGACTGGGACTTTTATTTTTTCTCGTCTGTTGCATTCCCAATGCTAAGCAGTTGCTGGGACCTAGTAGGCATTTTCTAAATAACAGTTGAATGAATAAATGCATGAGCGAATTGACTGATTTTTCATTAAACCGTTAGCTTAGGAGGGCAGGTGAGGTGTCTTATTTCCTGTTTTACTCTAAGCACATCATAGATGGATGGAAGTGCTTGGTAAATTTAATAGATCAATGAATGCTGATGCTCTACCCTCCAAGAAAGGGTAGAGTGTGTGAATTCAGTGTAACCTGAATGACGGTGATTTCACACTGATGGTCCTTTAGCACGGAGGCATGGCATCCTGTAGGGGCCCCTCCTCTTTCCTGGAAGACAAATCTGGGATAGAGCTGTTAGTAAGAGAATCACTTCTATGTAATTACTCTTGAGTGACAAAGTCTGTTTGTCTCTTTGTTGTTTAATAAACTGGAGACTAAACATTGTGTACATACGGAGTTTTTGTTTAGAACAAGTTGGATAATGATTGAGGGGAGTTAGTGACACGTAAAGCTTGTTTTCTTGCAGAAAACGCTGTCTTGTATCAAAACTACAAAGAAAAGGCCCTTGACATTGACTCTGATGAAGAGTCGGAGCCCAAAGAACAGAAGTCGGATGAAAAAATTGTGATTCACCATAAGCCGCTGAGATCCACGTGGAGCCAGCTCTCGGCAGTGAGTGTTTACCTTCATCTTTTCTACCTGTGGGAGAAAAAAATAAGATGTGGAAATTATGTGTGGGTACGGATTTTGTTTTTTCTGCCAACGATCCTAAGGACAACACTCTTTTTAGATTGTGAAATGTTTCTCAAGACTCTGCAGACATTAATGAGAACGTGAACTTTGGTGTCTCTGATTAGGAACATTAGGTTTTGATAAAATAAAATGCCTTGAGCCTTATGCACTATGAACTCTGGGAATTTCCTACTAGGTATCTTTTTAAAAAATATGGTATATGTGTAGTGGTAACTTAATATAGCTGAACTTTATCAAAATTATGGCTGTATACATATGTGTGTGTGTGTGTGTGGATGTTTCTGTAGGTACCTGCGTATGTATCTATGCACCACAGAGAGTTTATTCCTTGGAAATTTCAGTTGATACAGACATATTTGTATTTTTTCTTGAAGCTGATTAATGAATGGCCATCTGTTCCATCTTCTCTGTGTCTCTTATATTTGTGTTTGACATTTTTGTGATCAACTTATTTTTGCATTGAGGAGTCACTCTCCTCTCTCCATCAAACATCTTTTGTCTTTTAACCATAATTCCTTTTCCCGTTAGCTTACCAAGTGTCACAGTATGATGCTTAGTTTACCTGGTAAGAATTTGGGTCCAGAATTTTTGGACATTTGATGCGTTAGCAAGTAGAAAGGCATTCCCGTGGCTGGTTTGGGTCGGGGATACACCTCTGTGTCCTGAGGCCGTGGAGCAGAGGCAATTCCCTTCACAGCTGCAGTGAATATTATTCAGACTCAGGAATCCTGTCTATGTAGGGAACTCTCCAGCGTAAGTAAAGGAGTTATGTGGGCTTTGTGCAGCTGGGACCATGGGTATATGTTTAGTGTGGAACCTTCTGATTCAGGCTCTACCTCCCCTCTTCTGTATTTGGATTAAAAATTCTAGAGACCAAGCTCTTTTCTCTTTCTCTCTCTGCCTCCCCTAATTTTATTCAAGGAGAATCTACACATTTCCAGTGTCTCCAAGGTATGGCACCCTGAGTATTGTGCCCCAAATTTAAATGCCTATAGTGGCAGGGCAAGTAGTGAATAAGTGATCCTGGTGTGTGTGGGCATTGGGGAGTTGGGGGGCAGTGGAGACGAGCCTTCAGTAAATAGAGCAGCTATACTTAGCTCAAACCAGGGGAGCATGAGGACTCAGTGTGGCTGCATCTTCTGATAGTTAGGAAAGATAAAACAGAAATCCAGACTTTGATGAGTGTTATCCTGATTCAAGGTTAAAGAAATGTTGTGTGAGACCAACACAATGTCTATGGGCCAGACGTGGCCTCTGTGCCCACCGTTTGCAACTTAAGTGATATTTTCCTGATTCTTGCATGTAGTAAGGTGGTAACACCTACCCACAGAGTTGGTGTATTGACAGCTTGCACCCTCATCTAATGATTTCATGGTATGTGTTTACCAAAATAGATAACAGGAAAAACCGATGTCAGGGTTTATGGAAACCGTGTCAGCTCTGAATGGCCGTCATTCAGTTCATTAGGTTCTTGGTATGGACCATTTGGTAAAGGATCTGGGTGAAAAAAGAGGGCTGTGGACTTTCTGAGTTTTATGTCTGTGGAAGCAGCGGCGTTTGCTAACTAACACAGGCCTAAATCCTATCTCTGGTCTCTGAACACTAAGTAGAAAAGTGGATTTCTGTGGCAGTTACATGCTGATCCAACTTAGCTTTTAGCACAAAAACTCAGGCTCCATCTTTATGCCTCCTGAATGTGAACAAGTGCACTGCCATTAAATAATAGTGCGTATCTTTCAGTTCAGCTTTAATTATGGCCATGCATTTTATTATGCAAAAAATACATGTACTGATGTGCCTTTTGTTAACAAGATAGATATCAAAAAACTTTCTTGTAATAAAAATTAAGACTATAAAGTGAGTTCTAATTTTCGTGTGTATTATCTTGGAGTTGAGCATTGCCAGCAGGCCTGTGTCTACTTACTGTGTTACTTGGCAATTACAGTTAATCAAAGCAGTGGGATTGGACTTTGCCACTTAGCATTACTTCGGCACCAGCCTTACATATTTCTTTGAAATAGAAAAGGCACAAAAAATGTAAATTCACTTAAATTTTACCTTTTTTTGGTGTAAAATACTTCAACCCTACAGAGTAATTTTAAAAAATCTATGTATCCACTACCCAGACTGAACACATGTTAATACTTTAACATATTTGCTTCAGCTTCTGTTTTTTCTTAGGCAGATTCAACTCATCACTCCCCCCTTTCCAGAATTTTTCTCCTTCCCGCCTCCCAGAAGTGATAACTCTCCTGAAGTTACCTTCTGTCCTTCTCATGTGACTCTTCTGTCTACCAAGAAGATGCAGCCAGCTCTGGCTTTTAGGAAAGTAGATATTTTAACACCAGTAAGCAGCCCTTACCTTTTTAGAAGCCCATCCAATCAGTCAGTAAATGTGCAGGTTGCAGTTTGGACCCCCAGGAAAGGAGGCTTCGTGAAGCATTAACAGTGCCAGGATGTTTCTCCTAAGTGACTGGCACCTGCACTTCTCTGTCTGACCTTGTACCTCGATCCCTCCTTGTAGCAGAGCTGCAGCATTTAGGGCAGGTCTTAAAAGACTTCCACATCATACATACATATTTTTGGATGACCTTTCCATGCCTGACTTTTCATATATCAAATTTAGTAAGGCCTGAGCCCAGCGAGAGAGTAGGACCAGGGGTTTTCTGGCAGTGAACTTGGTCCCAGTCTGGCATATCCCTTCACTTCCCACCTAGGAGAGAAGCGAGTGAGTGCACACGTGCACACAACCAACAATCCTGTAGACTGTTTTATTTTCTAAAAATTTCTTACCTTTGTGGCAAACAAGCACCTGCCCGCCTCCTGGGGTGGTAAGGAAACTTTCCTTATCGGCTGACCTAAGAAGCGTGCCGCACAGACTCTTTTGAAGTACAGCAATTTGCAGTAATTTATGGTTGTTACATAAGGTCGTTATGCCTCCAGTCTGTGGTGTAGTTTGTCTGAGCATGTTTATGTTGTCTTTGGTTTCACTGGGCAGTGCCGGGGAGGGTGGTGTTCAACTCCACAGGTGACAGGTGGTTCCCCATTTACAGTGTTGGGACAGGTTTAAACTGTAGGGTTGTGGCCATCTAGGAATGAAAGAAAATGAGAAGTGGGTAGGAGTAGCATCTATTTAATTGGACCTCAATAAAATAGCGCACATTTAGGCCACCACAGACTAAAGTGAATTAAGGGTGAACACATCTAGCAGTGGTGTCTCTGGCAGTGCAGTCACCATATGGAGGTGGGACATTCTTGAGTGGTCCAGAGCACAGCCCGGGCTCTTTAACATTAGAACATTAAAATGACAGGCCGGTCATTCACTTGATTGTCAGAGTGTATAGATCTGTTCTTAATTGGAACTGCACGATTTCTTCACTCCAGGGAATATAATTGAGTGCTGAGTTTCAGGCCTTGGGGAACCTGAACAGATTCTAAATAACTTAAGTGGTCATAGTTCCCAGTGTTTGGTTGTCCTATGTGGAAGAGACTTACTGAGGTTTTAAAACCTCAGTGAATTTGGAAAGTCATTTTTGACCTCTAAAGATGATTATCTGGAAATGTGCCCAGGGACAAGGAAACTGCCACACACAGGTGAATCTTGGCAGTGACTCACCTGAAACAACAGCGTGAGGACTATGCCAACAGTTCTTGGATCTCTGGGAAAAGCATGTGGGTTTCAAGAAAAATATTGATTGTATTAGTCAGGGGTAGAACACTGTGTGCTGGTCACAGTGAGCGCCAGGTGTGCGGCCACTTGGGCTTCAGGTTTTTCCAAAGTTCATTCTTTAATAAGATCCCATAAATGGCCCCGCAAGTATTTACTATCTCCTCTTTTAGACTGATTTTAACAGAAACATTTTTCCTCTTTCTTTCCATCACAGCCCCCTTCTAAGATCCCAAGGTCACATACTGTGCATGCACCAAGACATGCCCGTTGGGAAACCAGTGTTTGTTTTGTTAGGTTCAGTGACAGTGCCGAAGCTGCACTTGCCAGCTGTGCCTTGGTCCCATTTGTTTGCCGTGGGGTGTGGCTGTGTGATTTCCAGCACCTTGAAATGCCACAACCCTTCGGAAAGAGTGTTCTGTATTCAGTACCGAACACGGTCATCCTCTGCTGTACTCTTCTCTCAGAGTTGCTGCGCGTGGCTTTCCCAGTAGTTTTAAAACATTTTGAATATTTCTTCAGCTTGCTCAAAAATTTTAAACTCTTTAGCAAAGGATGGCTTTTTATATTTTTATCAAAGTATTTATTCAGCTGTGCTGGGTGTGGCCAATGGTGTAATGAGAGATCTAGAACTTGAACCTCAGGCTCCGGTTCAGGGTTCAGTCTTAAGGTACATGCAGTTTACCTTTGGGGCTTGCAGGATGAGAAAGAAAGATGTGAGAAGTGGGAATTTTATTACAATTTCACTTAGCTGAAAATATAAGAGACATTATGGAATCTTAGTAGTTCAATCTGATGAGACTTATTCTTTTGGAATTTACATTGTGTTTATTTTGAAAGATGTACTATTTTCAACTAAAAATCAGAGCTTAACACAGATATAATAAATGTGAATATTGTTGTTTGCAGAAATGTATAATGCATTAATTTTTATTTATTTTTTTGAGAGTGTCTTGCTGTGTTGCCCAGGCTAGAATACAGTGACATCGTCTTTGCTCACTGCAATCTCAGATTCCCCAAACTCAAGCCAGCCTCCTGAATGGCTGAGACTGGGTAGTTGAGACTAGAGGGGTGCACCACCTTGCCTGGCTAATTTTTATTTTTTTGGAGAGACAAGGTCTGTCTGTGTTATTCAGGTTGGTCTTGACATCTAGGTCTTAAGTGATCCTCCTACCTTGGCCTCCCAAAGTGCTGATATTACAGGGGTGACCCACAGCACTCGCCGCTTTAATGAATTTAAACTTTCATTTTTTTCCCCTAAATTTTTATACTTATAGCTGAATTTTTAATTGTTGCTTAAAATAGTCATTTCTGTGGTCATATAATTTTTTATTTATAATTTTGCAACAGAACAATGTCATAATAAAATTATTTTTACCTTAGATATTGATGAATGCTTTTCACCATACCTTTTGTGTCTGTCTGTTTATTTATTTATTTATTCATTGAGAGAGAGTCTCACTCTGTCACCCTGGATAGAGTGCTGTGGCATCATAGCTCACAGCAACTTTAAACTCCTGGGTCGAACAGTTCTCTTATGTCAGCCTCCTGAGGAACTGGGAATATAGGTTCCTGTCATAAGGCCCAGCTACCTTTTTTGTTTTGTTTTTTTTGCATTAGAGACAGGGGTCTTTGTTTTGCTTAGGCTAGTCTCAAACTTCTGAGTTCAAGCAGTTCACCCCCATTGGCCTCCCAGAGTGCTAGGATTACAGGCTACCGCACCTGGCCCCTACCTTTTGTGTTTAAAATATAGAAACATATTCTCATTTTCATGTCTGGCTTACTTTTAGCCTTCATAGTTTAAACAATTAGGCCTGTAGGCGTAGACTAGTCTATCCTTTTAAGTTGGACAGTGGATTTTCTCAAATGTTTATGTCTTCTTAAAAGGAAATAGAGGTCCAAATGCCTAGACCTGACACCTGCTAGGGTTTAAATATTTGCCTTCTCCAAATTCATGTTGAAGTTTAGTCCACAATGAGGCAGTATTAAGAGGTGGGAACTTTGAGAGATTATTGGATCATGAAGACTCTGCCCTCAGTATGCATTAATCCGGCCATGGACTAATGGATTAATGAGTTAACATGGGAGGGGCAACTGGTGGCTTTATAGGGAGAGGAGGAGTGACCTGAACTGGCATGTTAGCACACTGAGCCCCTCCCCATGTGAGAGCTGCCACCACCTCTTCAGAGAGTCGTCACCAGCAACATGTTTCTCAATAGATGCTGATCCTTGGTGGGGACTTCTCAGCTTCCATTACTATGAGAAA